CGTCTGATATCTGGCAATTTTGTACATCCATTTGAATCAATGTGAGCCTCTGTATCAGATCCTTTTGAATGTATCAACTAATTTATCGCAGGTGTGCCCAGAAGGGGGTATATGGCGCCATCAAAATTTTTGAGGAGGGCATAGTTGACGGGTTTTTGAATTTTTGAGGAGGGCAAATTTCGACGAATATGGATTTTCGGACTATAGGGCAACATGGAGCATACCGCAGCGTAATTGTATATGACCTACGATTTTTCTAATTCTATATTAGCTTGCTCTGTTTTTAAGAAAAGGTGAGCAATAAAATATCTTATAGAAGAAGGTTAGGGGTTCTTGCGGCATCGATCTTGGGGGGATGGACACTCCTGCTTTATAGCATCTGGCACGTACAATCGTTTCCAACACATCTTTTTAATTCCCCTTTTACGTCAGTCATATTATCCCTTTTTTTTCTCAGAACAGGATTTATAATATACATTCTACCAAAAAATTAACAACATAATACGTAATATTATATAAAACTAATCGTTTTATGTCTGTTTTACTTATATCATTAAATAAATAGATTAAACTTTTCTAAAATTAGGCTTTGATTGATACAAATTTATTTTTTTTCTCTCCCAATCTTGGAATTTCTCTGAAAATCTAACTTTGTCATCAAAGTAGAAACCCTTAATCTTCCTTAAACCCGGAGTACACTGGATCGGTCAAGAACTTGAGGAAATTTGGGCGAGCCAAGCAAAGTCCCACTTTAATGCTCATACTCGCCATGTAATTAATAGACATCAATGAAATTCTTAATGGATAGGTAGTAGCAATAATAAACGATTGCTTAATAAAACATAAGTATAGTTATAGTTTTGTTTGGTTTTTATTTTTCAATTCTGAAAGGAAAGGAGATAAAAATAAAAAGTCATTAAGGAGGTTGTTCTTTATTCTTGATAATTAAATGTTCTTGAAAATCCCTAGAATTTTTATACATTTTCTATATAGGATTAAATATATTTTAAGGAACGATCTTATGAAATCCATTCATATTTAAAGATAAAGTTTTTTTTTTAATTTTATATTTATTTATTACATTTTTTTAGATTTAGGCTCATGTAAAAAATACAGGTTTATAATGAATAAAATATAGTTAAAAATGGTCACAGTTGGTACATTTTTATTGTTCAGCTATATACATGAACCTCATCAATAGTTTTAACGACCTGCGTCGTTAAGAACTTTCGGTATACCAAGCAGTGAGTTTATAATTTCCGAATTGCGCTTGTGGGTGTGATCTTCGCTTCTCAATAGTTCCGATAACCAGATAGGTGTCTCCTTTCCACTTAATGTTTGCAGCTGAAACATTTAAATCAATAAATAAAAGCAAGTATAATTTTAAAGATATGACTTATTATAAAATATAATATGGTCATTTTAAAAATATTAGGTCATTTACAGACTGGGCCTCAATCACGGGCATATTTAATAAGTACATTAGAAGTTAATATATATCCAAAATACAAAACATTAATTAGACCAAAAAATGTGATTTTTATACCGTTGCAAATGGCTTATGTAGGGTAATGCAAGTAAGTCAAGTGCCTTGGGTGCCATTCAAAGGGGACAAAATAAAATATATTCAATAATACAATCTACGTTCTAATAATCTCTCGATCTCACGGTCCCTTCTGCTATTTGCTATGGCACTAACTCTATTTGAGTAGACATTTAATTATTTAATTAGGAGGTATGTGAAAGTAGTGTGATGTGCATTCAGCACCATACATTTTTCTATTGCACATTCAAAGAAACTGTGATGGATCTCCAAGAGGAGCTCGGATGGCGCAAGCTGCTCCATCCAAGATTCTGAGAAGGGCACATATTAACAGGGATAAGAATTTTGGGAGGAAATCACATTTTTATTTGTTTTTAATTGAGGAAAACTTTCAAATCAACCAACAACAGAAAAACTAAACTACAATTTTTATAATTTCATTTTCATTTGCATATAATTGATTTATTATTCATTTCGTTTTTGATTTTTTTTTCTTCCTATGCCATAGTCATTGGTCATTCGACCATCCGACATCTTGCTGCCCAATATAATTTTGATTTTTGTATGTAATCATTTACATATGTTTGATTCTTTATATCCGTCAAAGCAGGACATTCGTTTAGGTGGTCTGCATCCATTTCCGCTTGTTCACATAATTTACAGCTAGAATCCTCAGCCACGCCTATCTTGTGGAGATGACTTTGTAGATAGTCGTGACCAGTGGCCAGGCGGAAGCAGGCTACTGCATCTCTTCTTGGTATGTCTGCTGAGATCGGGTTTTCCATCAAACATCCATAACGTTTCCCTTCCACCTTGTCTTTGTGCATATTTTTGGTTTCCTCCTTCACTATCATCCTCACCATTCGCCGAATTGAATCGTAGGATTTTGGATGGACTGTTTGTGGCAATTCTGCTCCCCTCCTGGCGAGACTATCCGCTTCCTCATTTCCTGGAATACCGCAATGGCTCGGAATCCACTGAAGGACCACATTGGTGCTTCGGAGTGTTAGATCGTAGAGAAGGGATTTGCACTCCAAGATAACACTCGACATACATTTATTCACCTCAGTAATGGCGAGGATTGCTGCTTGCGAGTCGACAAAGAGAACAGGGTTCTGAACTTGCCATCCTGATAGTGTTCTTCGTTTTTGAAAAGAGGAGAGCTACATTTTCTTGGGAGAGGGGATGGAAACCACTGGAAATGGTTAACTTTTTAAATCAATGAGTGAGCTTTGAACAGAGATTAAAATTATTAATTTACTTTCGCCTAAACAGTTTCTAATTTAACCACATTTATGTAAACAAGAAAAAATTATTAAACTTGATAATACTTATTTGATGTGCTCAAGTCTAGCATCCTGAGTTTGTTCGAAGTTTCTCATAACGTTTTATGAGAGGTTTTGGTGAACCCATAAGGTGATCTAGAGCAATTTTAAAAGAATTTTCTAATAAATTATTATGTTTTTTTTTATTATGAAGACATTCCTTATACCATCTTAGTAAAAAACGTATCTTTCATCTTTATTTCATCATCATCATAATCCATCCTCTTGAACCACATTAAGCAGTGCGACGAGCAAGTTTATAGAGCCTTCTCCAGCTCTGCCGGTCTTCCACAAGACGCCTTCTATCGTTCCATTCAAGTCCTCTTCTCTGGAAGTCGCTTTTCACCTCATCTTCCCGTTTCCTTCTTGGCCGTCCTCTCCCTCTCTTACTTTATACTTTAGTTCGATAGGCTTCGCTAGCTATCCATTCGCAGAAGATGTCCTAGCCATCTCAGTCGATTCTCATCTATCACATCATAGGCTGGCTTAATATTGACGATCGACCTGATGGTCGTGTTGCGTACTCTGTCTCTTCTTGTTTTTCCCTTAATCTTTCGGAAGAATCTCATTTATGACGCTTGTATCCTTGATTGATGTTTCTTTGTCAGTGTCTATGATTTTGAAGAGTACGTTAAAATGGAAACAAATGTCGATCTGAAAACAACCACCTTTGCTTTTTTTCCCACCTCTCGCCTGTTTAGAAAATCATTCTTAACTGCTTCAAATATCCTGCTCGTAGCAGAGATTCGCTCAGTGACCTCTGATTCGATATATCCATTTTCATTAAGTTGCGTACCCAGGTATTTGAGGTTTTCTACTTGTTCGAGGATTTTGTCTTCGACTCTCATGACGCGCATATTATTTCTAGGCTTCTTTCCAACCCTCATTACTTTTGTTTTTAATAATCATATTAATAATCAGTGTTGGTAATCATATTAATCTTCCGCTATTCTTCTTTTACTTTATTGATATTGTACTGAAGATTCCTGTCATTGTCCGAAAAAATAACAACGACATCAGGGAATGCAAGTATTGAGAGGCCCACTGATCTCAGGTTGCCATATCCCAGGTGAAATTTCCGCATTTTTCCTTTAGTCCTTCGTATTGCTGTGTCCATTACTAGAATAAACAAAAGTGAAGTAAGAATAAAACTAGCCGGATTCCAATTGTTTTGATTTCCTGTGAAGTGCAGTTGGCAAATCTTACTATGTTTCTTGTTTTCTTGTAGAGACTCTCAACCTGACTTGAACTTCATCAAACTCTTTTTCTTACCCGATCGAAAGTTTTTGTAAGATCAACAAAGCACACCGACATTTCATTTTCTTTTCCCAATACTTTTTCGAAAACTTGTCTCAAGGTAAAGATAAGGTCCTGTGTGCTAAGATTTTCCCGAAAGCCGTACAGTTCTTCTTCAAGTAATCCTTCTTATTTTCTTTTCTAAGATCTTAGAGTAAATCTTACTTGTAAGCTTAATAGAGATATGCCTCGGTGGTTGTTGCAATCTCTAATATCTCCTTTCTTTAAGATAGGGACGATGATGGCTAATTCCCAATCTTTCGGTATTTTCTTTTGCTTCCACACTAAGTTTAGTAGATGAAGCAGGATTTCTTTTCCTTTTGGCCCCATGTATTTGTGAATTTCAGGAGTTACTCCATCACTACCTGCAGATTTCGCTAGCTACGTACTCCAGATTGCTTCTTCCAGTTCGTCATCGCCAATAAAGTCTTCTTCTTCGCAAGGACCTATCTCTCTTGTTTCTTCATCTACACAGGAAGTCTGTCCATTTTCATTCAACAGATCTTGGAAGTATTCCCCCCATCTTTCCATTATCTCACCCTTCTGCCTGAAAATGTTTCCTTCCTTGTCTTTGACGAATTATTAATATTAATAAATAATTAGTTGGCGCTTTTTCCTTTTTTATCTCTTGAAGACTCGGTAAAATAGCTTTTGATTTTGGTAGAAATCCGATTGCAATTTTCGCCTAAAATCTGCCCAGATTGTCGTCTTGGCCTCTATAACTTTCTTTTTAGCCTCAATCCTTTCCCGGCTTGTACTTTTCGAAGTTCTCCGGTGGTTCGTGTTCTTTCCGAAGTTTCTTCTTTTCTCCTATTATCTTTATTTACCTCATCTGACTACCATGCTGTTCTCTTGTATCGGCCTCCAATTCTTTTTATGCCACAAACCAATGCTGCTGCGTCCCTAATTATTTTCTTAGAATAGAACCAGCTTGTTTCTATGTCATCAGAATCCCACTGATAGTCCAAATCTCCGGCCATTCTCTCAATTTCTTTCTGGTAGTAGGTAGTAATTTCACCTTATATCATTCTAGTAAAAAACAATTTAAACCAAGATTCAAAAATGTTAATGGAATATTAATGACGAAACGTATCTTTCGTCTTTATTACATATTTTCCTAATTTATAATAATTGTTTTCTTGGGTACCCGTGCTTGTTTCTAATTAATGATTTATAACCATCTTTCTGTCACAACGGATAATATCTTAAATTCTAATGAATGATAATTATAACACAAACGATAAACGGCACAATAAATATCTATATATTATAGTTGTAATCTTACCAATAGCTTATCTAGCATTTTGTCGTTCAGTGTGTAAGCTGGTAAGGAGGACACGTCAGTGAACATGGCCAAGCAAACCAGAGCACCAAAGATAACACAAATCATAGTCTTCATTCTTCTCCTAGAATTAAATGATTATATTGAAAGTTGTTACATGATTCATACATGGTTTGAGATATTAATATATAGGTATATAAGTATTAATCAACTCGATATTTTGCTCAAAATCAAGTGCATATTCGTAACCTTTCTGGAAAAGTAAATTAGTTGCGATGTCAAATATTTAAGTACGTCATTGTCAAGTATTAACTACTATAGAAATGGAAATGTTTTAGATATCATTTGGTGTTAGAGTAATAATGTCAACTCCAATCAGGATATTCAGTTCGGTGTAAAAAGAAAAAAAAGTTAATTCTAAATATAAAAATAAAGAAGCCCACAATTTTTATTTGTCAATTCATAAAAAATAGATTGTAAAAATATTGTTATATATCGCTTAATATTGTTTAAAATAAAAATTAAGGATCATAAAAGCAATGCTACTTAGCAAATCCTGCATATAGATGGTTTAAAAGCATGACCATAGTATGTGTACGTTTATATCAACTTCACTTTTTCAGACTTGGTGATGAACTATTGTTGCACAAATATTCTATTTATTTTTGTAAAGTAAAAGGTTATTTTTTTTTTACAATTTCTTATCTATGAATTAGGGCAAAGGATAAAAAAAAAAAAAAAACTGCAGTTAGTCTTATAATTACTACTAATTTATAAAAAAATAGATAAAATTCTAAATTTTAATATTCAATTTGAGACAGCTGATGAGAAAGGTTGTGTTATTACCTCGGCTCTCAGAATTTGTTTGCTCTTATTTCTCCTTTAGTTAATTATCAAATTCTTTCATATTTTATATTTAACTATTTTTTCTATCAAAAATTAATGTGAAATGGTTAATTATTTCAAATAAAAAAAATTAAAGGTACTTCAGAGGGAGCTAATATTGAAAGTTAGGCATTTAAGCCCTCTTAGAGAACGTCAATGAGAATAAAACCATACATTATATTAAAACTGTTTAATAATACACTGATATACTGAGTTTAATCAAAATTGTTGGAGCCATTTTTGAGTAGATCGTAAAAATGTAATAAATCGATGATATAAAGTACCACTTCCGGTTAGCCAATTTTGGCGAAAATGTTGCTGTAACATCCCAGGCTTATAAAAACGTCAAATACGCAATTTCAGTTTCGTGAGACTTTCGTTTTTGAGGTAGGCCGTTCACATACATACATACATACACAAACACAGACCATTTAGTGGGACTTGGTTATTTGGACTCAAGGGACTCGAAACGTGTTTTCCATTGAAAATTCAGATACGAAAATTTTCACGATTTACGATGCTTACCGTTACTATATATTATATATATACATAAGTGAAAGTAAAAACGTTACGAGGCCAGAGGTTGTGCATGTATGTTATTAGTCGTCTTATGGGATCACGCTCAACCGTCAGGTTTTTCCCCTTAATTAATTATTGAATGAAGAGTATCCACTTTATAGAGAGTGGGTTTGCCTCAGAAGTGTATTCCGATTCTAGGGTCGATCCACGGCTGATGTAATGTAAAAAAAAAAGGAAATTACCAGCCATCAGCAGGACTTCAGCTCAAGACTTTTTTTTTCTCGATTATCCTCGAACTCATTTTTACCGTCTGAGAGAGTTGTTTTGAAGTACGACCAACCCTATACTAACCAGAGTTGGAAGGTCAAGATTCATTTCGTTTGTATGTGGAAGTTGTCCAACAAATTTTTTTCCGGCAAATATGAATAATCATCAGACTAATTTAACATAAAGGTAAGCCAAACACAAAAATTTGTCCTATAGTAAAATAAAGACGAGAAAATTACCTAAATCATTTCTTTAAATGATTTATGAGTTCGAAGATCTGACATTTAACAGTCTTTCCGATTATAATGATTCATTAGTGTTCCCTAAGTTTAACGATAAGTTTGAGAAAAGAGAGATCCAACAATATTTCGAGAGAAATGCAGTTGCGTGGGCAAAGGCTGCTGGGCTTGTTGCCCCCAAAACGTAAAATAAATGTTAAATTTAATTTTTATTTTACAGTTTCTATTATTTCAAACTTATGGATCACTCTTATACTGGCCACTGCAGTCCACCTTTGAAGATACCTACTTCTCTGGTCGTGCTCGCCGCTGTCCACTTGGAGTTCGATTATATGAGGGCTCATGAAAAATCTACGTTTCGTCGCTGTATTGGAATGCTCGCGGTTTTTTCAATTTTACGACCGTCATCTCCTTGCGACCACGTAACATTGTAAAACTTTTATTATGTTTTGTTCTGTATAAATTTTATTTTTGGACTATTGATATGTTTGTTTAATTGTTTCTATTATTTATTGTAATATTGGGCCATTTACGTATAATTTATTTATTGTTATTTAATTATACAGTTGTAAATTTCATTAAATAGATAAAAAAAAAAACATGCTTACTTACTCTTACGTTACTTTTACATAACATACTTTAGTAGAAAAAGGCCTTTTTATTCTCGATAAAAAATAACTTTATTCTAAATTTATCCAAATTTTCGCCTTTTCAGGCATCTTCAGGGATAATCTGATTTTATAAGTAATTCAAATCCTAATGTGAAAAAACATATACAAAAATTTTTCAGAGGATTTATTATTAGACATTAGCCTATTTTTAAAACCATAATAACCTTAAAAACATTTTTAACTAATCAACCATATATATTATATTGTAAACAAAATAAAAGGACCCACTGAAAAATTAGCAAAATTCTATAAGAGCTCATTAGATTGTTTAAATAGAATGAACGACTATGGCATAAATAATTCTTTTAAAGTAAAAGAAAAAATTGAAGTGATATACATCTAATAAAAGATGAGGTTCTTGTCAGTTTTGATATCAAATCTATTTTCACGCAAGTTCCCTTAGATTTATCTTATAATATAATTAATGAGGGATGAGACATTATCAGGAGCCACACACCTATAATAAATAAACAAATGTACCTGGAGGGTTTGAACTTTATATATAACAAGGATATATTCACGTATGATAATAAGCTGTTCCGTCAGTTGACTGGCCTTACCGACGGGACGGAGGGGGGAGCCTAAGTATTAGTATTAGCGGGATCGCAATGAATAACTTAATAAAATATGTTTGTAAAAAATTAAATCCGAGCCGAAGTTTCTTTTAAAATAAGTAGATAAGATCTTAATGATAATAAATAAGGATCAGATTGATAATACCCTGAATGAGTACAATAGTTTTCACAATAGCCTACAATTTACGCTTGAAATACAACTTAATAACTGCATTCGTTTTTTGGATGCCCTGCTTATGAACAGCAATGGTCAAGTGAAAATTAAGTGGACAAAGAAAAAAGATAGCAGTGATAGAATTTTAAATTACTTATCACACCACCCGTTTAATCAAAAATTGAATGTGATTAGTAATTTCATAGGTAATGCTATGAAACTTACTGATAGGCATATTTAAATAATATGAAAGAGCAACTCTTAAAAATTCTCAGAAAGAATTTATACCCTTACTTGCTTATTATTACTACGTTGTATAAAATATTAAAGAAAATAGATAAACCCATAAAACTTAACGATCAAAATAAGGATAGTCCACTATTTCCTAAATATAAACCTTTAGAATATATAAAACACCTGTCAAAATCCCTCACAAAAACATTTTTGGAATACAATATCTATGAAATCAAAATAGCATACCGAATCTCAAATAAACTTTACAACCAAAATTATAATTTACTCTATGAAATAAAATGTCTACATTGTCCGAATTCATATATAAGCATGACAATTCAAAACCTCAACAATAGACTGTATCTACATAAAAATTCATGTAGTGATTATATAGACAAAAATAAAGGGGAAAAAAAAAATCTAAAACAGCTTTAGCTAAACATGCATCTGATTTAAAACATAAATTTGACTTTGATAAACCGGGGATCCTCCATCGAGATAATTCGGAACAAAAATTAAAATACTTGGAGGCACTTTATATATCAGAAAACCTGGATAGGTTGGCAAATTTTAAAACGGATGCAAAGAATTTAAATAATTTTTTTTCTGAAACTATAAATATCTTGAACAAACAATAATAGACGTCTGATTTTTTAAGTTTTTTATTGTTGCAGATTTTATAATAATAAAATAAAAAAAACTATATAATTTTTTTAAAAAATTTAATATGTATTTTTGAAAAATATATTTTATGAAATGTATATAGGTATGTACGTGGGGATGTGTGTGTGTATGTATGTGTGTGGATGTGGGTGTGTAAGAACATATATATTTTAATTGTAAATAAAATAATGTTCTATAAATGCTAGATTTAAATAATTTATATTAAAATAATAACATAATCTGGTTTGAAATTTAGTCAAGTAATATTTAAATATTTTAATGTTGGCAATGCCTCTCCTCCTTGAAGGTTTGTTCTCATTCTGTGACTAAGTGTGCAAGTGGGTACATTTCTATTAAGCGAGTAAGTTTTTATATCTTTATGTTTTGATATATATATATAAATGGTTGATTAGTGAAAAATGTTTTTAAGGTTATCATGATTTTAAAAATTGACTAATGTCTAATAGTAAAAACTCTGAAAGATTTTTGTATATGTTTTTTCAGATGAGGATTTGAATTATTTATCGAGACTAAATAGGCCTTTTCTACTAATATATAATATAGTCTCTTTCCCAAGATCATCTTTTATAACATACTATATATTTTTATTAATATATAGCTGTATGCAGATAATTGAAAAGAAATAGTCCAAGATAAGTAAAGATGGAGAAGACTGGTTAAGCCAGCAAAAGATCTACAAGGTTTGTTATGTCAATAGTAGTAAAAAAAATAAATATATGTATTAAAAAATCAAATATATGTATTGTTTGGTTTTTTTTTTTTTTATAATACGGTCTTTGTAAAGGATAGATTAAAGATATACTATATTATTCGAAGAAAAGACAAATTACCTAAATAAGTAAACCACCGTGGAGACACAACGGCGCTGAGAAGAAAACTGGTTAGAAGGAAAGGGTGCTCCCCAATAAATACTACCTCCCCTGCTGTCAGGCCGCTCTGTCACCTGCAGATTCTAGTTTACGTCACATGATATTAGGAGTATTTTTATTCGATATCAATTACATCATTATTAACTGGACTTATCACCCACACCTCTTGAAATAGCTTTTAGTATTTATTTATAAGTCCTCAATGAACATAACATGTCTGCTCAACCTATCAATCTACCAAACAGTCAAATTCAATGTCCAAGTAACATCTAGTCACTGATGTTCTTCCAGTGTCTTAGCACCCATTCCTATTTGCTACGATCGCTATCACGTTTTGTTGAGGGTTTTAAAAATTAAAAGATTACTATTTATTATTGTCCACGACAAATTAAACATCTATTGAAAAGGTCAAAGAAAGAGAATATTTCTGAGGTGATTAGGAGACAGACGATATTTTTTTTCCTTCCTGTTTTGGGTTTATATTCTTCAACAGGACTCTTTTAGACAATTTAAGTATCCTTATATTTAACGACTGTAATATTCTACAAGATGTGTAGTTTTTGATTATTTGAAACACCAATGAAAGTGAACTGGCTTCTATGAGTACCAGATTATCTTCTTAAGATTATCTTCTCCTTCAGGTGCAAAAAATAAGCATATCCTCCAGAAGAGATATGAAAAATATAGACAAGAAACCTCACGTGACTTAAAAATATACAATTTATGGACGCTTATACCAAAGATAATCAGAAAGGTTTGCAAATTCCTTAGACAATATTATAAAAAAAATATATATATAAAAAAGATACATCCCATTGTAATTTGTTTTGGTCTGTTATTTTGACTTAAGTATTGCAATCTAACATTGAAAAGAAACGTTTTTCCTTCCTGTCATAAACAATTGCAATTACTTATTTCCACATTATTGTTAACAGTCTAGCATACTTTGCGAATTATTATTAGATATATAAACTTAATTAAAATAATTTCCGTATCAATATATTATTAAAATAATACTCAATCTTTAAGGGTTGCTAAAGATTGATATAAGCCTTTTTTTATTCTACCAAGAATTTTAGATTTTCTATTTGAGTAAATATTTCAAATTCGTCTGATTAGTTCGACTCACCAGGGCATTTAGACAGATTGTATTGGAGACTCTTGTTATCAGTCCTGATAATGAAATAAATTATTCGCAAGGTTGCCGCTCAGGACGCAAGCGGAAGAGCATTCATTAAATATAATTTAATAAAATTGATATTAGGTGATTTCTGCACTATTCTCTTCATTTCCTCCAACTCTGAGTCAAATCGAATGTGCCTTTTTCAAATCAAGAGGGAATAAAAAAGGACATCTTTGCAGATCTCAAAACGAAAGTATTTTTTTACACCTTTGGATTGAATTTGATGAAATTGATTCCTACTTGATTATTTATTCATCAATCCCTAATAGCCCAATAATCTTGTCATGAAAAGGGTGGTCTAAGTTGCATCGAATGGGGGGCAGAAGTTTTCTTTCTTTTCTTGTATGAGATATGACTTAGATTTAAAATCTAAGTTTTCGACCTCGGCGCCTCCTCCCTCTCTTCCTCTCCGGATCACTTCTGAAAATACTCCCCCCCCCCAAAAAAGCTATGTTTTCTCACTTTTTCTCCTCCATTTTGACCATACATACGATACATTTTTAAAATAAATTAAATATGCCACAATTTAAGACCAAAACAGGTTCGTTGAATTTAATAAGTTTTTCAAACTTTCGGAAATTTGTCGAACTTTAGTTAGTCGAAGATATTTTTTATGTTTGATCATTTGGAATTGTCTTTATATCTTCAATAAGCTGTCTTGTATGATTCAGTGAATTAAACTTTTATTCATTTTAACATTTTGAAGGAGGGGTGAGGGAGGGAAGAGGAAGGTTTGGTGGAAGAATGAGAGATCACTTTTCACTACCAGAAGAATGAAATTGAAATAAAACAATTATTTAACAAAAATTTACTTCAGCTGGATACACAAATTGTAAATGTAGTGATTGAAAATCGAAGCTTGAAAATATTAAGCCAATTCTTATGATTATGTCTTCAATAACCATTTTTTTTTTTAAATAAAAAAATAACCAACCTTATAAGAGTTAGTGAAGTAAACATTTATTTAATTTATTATTTTGAAGGAGTAAATAAGGAAGATCCAAAATCTTTGAAAATATAACAAGCAACTGATGGAAACATTATTTGGTGGAAGAAAAATATAATAGACAGATGAAGAGAGTAGCACTCACTATAAGGATGCCGTTTATGAGGAGGCTGACGGCTGTTGCCACCTTCGCCAGTACCGTTTTTCCGCTGATTAAGTGCATTTTTC